TATATAGTATATATATATATATATATATATATATATATATATATATATATATATATATGTATATATAGTGATTTTTTGTGTGTCTGCACAGTTGAGAAGAACTACTTGCACCCCTCACGCTGATCCCGCAGTGCTTCAGTTCTATTTGTCAATGCTACACGTGTATTCAATCTGAAATGCATCTATCAAACACATGCTCAAGTCGATTCAATGGCACATTCTAATCTGGCAAGCTGAAACTTCTTTGTACGTGTTTCTCTGATCATCTGCAAATGCAATCACGTAGCCTCGCCGCACTGCCTTATTTGATCTGTCTTCAGATGCCGCCACTCGCTCATTGGTTATTTTTTAAACGGGACGTGTTTGTTTGTTTTGTCGAGGGTTTACTAATCATAAGCCGGCTTGATGTCAGGTGCCGCTAATCCCACATAATGCGTCGTCAAAGATAGCGTGGCGTGTGTGTTCGTTCAAGGCGTTACTAACCAGGAACCTTTCGTACGAATTCAGGTGCTGCTACTCAAAACACTGGTTTTGGGGCAACCGCCACGCCTGGGTTCGGTGCTCAGTCATCCACTACCGGAGGGTTTGGCAGCGCTACTACTGGAGGTATGTGAATATTCTACTGATGTTAGGATGTAGTCTTTCTCTAGCTCTCGTTCCGTCAACCATTGTGTAGTTTGCTAGAAAAAGTTATTTTTCCATACTATAATAGACTAGCATAAAGAAGCTTTTGTTTTCGAGAGTGGTGTACTTGCTAATATGCCTAACTATATGATTACACATTGATAGTGGAGTTCATACCGCTGATGATAAGTGAATGTACTAGTGGTTCATAGGTATCATCGTGTGCTAGTGTAACCCTGGAGTATCCATTTATAGCGTATATATTCATAATAATATGTTGGCAGTTTGGCGGCACCACAACTGGTGGCATGTGAGCTTTAAATTCATTTCAGAGCCCTGTTGAGCTATTGATGATTGTTAGGTATAAACATTTATGCATAAACACTAGAATACATATTGTGGGGTTGGTGAAAATAGCACTAATGACACACGAAAAGCTTTTTATCGTTTTGTATGATTGCAAGTACATGTTTGTATGCATGATCAATCAGTTTGATGCACAACAGCGTCAGTTTGAGGTACAAGTGGGTTGTAAATAACGCCATCTTCGATACGTGCGCGTTCGAAATTGTCATTCTCGTGTATACATATTCTTTTTGGTGCAGAATAAGTTCATCATATAGCTATATACATATATACATACACTTCACACATTAGGTTTTGGCAATGCCGGAGGCTTCGGGGGGGGTATGGGAATGACAGGCCAGACGCAACCCGGTACGGGCCACACGCCCTTTCAGCAAACCGAGTTTATTGACGGCCAAACTAAGTTTGTACACACTAACCTGTGTGCCATGAAGGCTTACGAGAACAAGTGTATGGAGGAGTTACGCTACGAGGATTATCAGGCAGAACGCAAAGGTATGTGATTTGTGCATTTGTATACATATGCATGTACACATATACACACATACGCATACACACACACTCATACACACACACACACTCACTCACACACTCACTCACTCACGCGCTCACACACAAACACACACTCACTCACTTACTCACTCACTCTCACACTCGCACACGCTCTCACACACTCAATCATATCATACGCACACTTTTTCGTGTGTATGTATCATGTCATACGCTCACATTGGTACAATGCGACGCATACACAAGCGCGATATAGATTGCGTTGAACATTTACCGAACATACTGTTTAATACAAAAGTATATCATGAAACGCCACAGCCACGCACACACACATTCTGATGCAAACTTAAAGCCATACATGTGTTAATGGCCGCGAATATAGCACGTCACTTGTCAGTCTCCCAATGTACAACACAATCTATCTGAGATGTACAGTCCACTGCAAACTAGCGTATTACAGGTCGACACTCACACGCACACAAATACACACACAACTGTCTTTAGGCGGAGGAGGTGGTGTAGTTACAGGTGCTACTGGTGGGTTCGGGGCATCGACGGGAGGTTTTGGACAAACTCAGTCTTCTACCCTAGGTGGAGGTACGGGGGGCTTCGGTTTTGGGCAGACGGCCACCCCAGCCGCGTCCAATACAGGCTTTGGGTTTGGGGCAAGTACACCAGCACAAAACACGGGCGGATTTGGCGGTGGTGGGGGCTCTATATTTGGACAGGTATGTCTGTAGTGTACATATACTGTGTACTTGTATGTTTACATGTTTAGGATGTGCCTCAGAAAAACGAGTATGAGTTTGAGCCCTAGTTGTCACTACATTAGGCTTGCCAATACGGCCATTGGGTTTGGCGCAAGTGCTTTCGCACGGAGCACTGGCGAGGGTTGCGATGGTGTAACCTCTTCATTTGCCCTGGATATGCTGTTGTGAATATGTGCGTTGGATTTGTATATTCACATCTGATTCACATTGAAGTTGCTCAGGCGTTTTCATATGTACCAGCAATATCACAAATGCTCATGGCGTGCATTCATCTGTATATACGAACCACTTGTGATTGTGCTCTGCGTTTGCTCTTTGATCTGTACCCATACGATTGTTCTGAGTCACGAACTTAGACAACTTCTGAGAGTGACTCTTTTGCTAGTATACGTGCATCGTATGCCTCGATCTGTGCACATTCACAAACAGATGCGTCTGTGTCGTATTGAGGCACCTAGGCACGGTCGTACGTGTTGATGTATGTAATGTGATGGGCGTGTCTTTCCACACGTCGCTAGTATATGCCAGCACAGGATGTCTTGCATGTCCCAAGTTATCATGTGGTTGTCATGAGGTAGTCAACGCTTCCGGTTATATGATATATGCTTCGTATGTAGTTCTCACACATCATCTGACCATGTTTCAACAACCGCTTTTTTTTATCCCGAAATCCCTGTCCCGAGTGCAGTCGGCCTCTAACACATCCAATCTTGGCGGGTTTGGACAGTCGAACACACAGTCAGGGACTACAGGCGGTATGTAGTATTATATAGCTTTGCTCTATGTGTGTCATAGGTACTCGTAGATGGTTCTGCAGGCTTTTCAGTGTTTATGAGTATATAAATCTCGGCTGTGAAAGTTTTGTACTCGGGCGGTATGCAATTCGGGTACGTCGGAATAGCCGTAATTGGCAGTCAGAACATTCATCGAATGATTCATCTTGCTTCTGTTATTACACACACTTCCACGCCAGCTAGTTTTGGCTCCAGGTGATTTGTATTCAAATGAGCATCCTTTCATACTATAAATCAGGCGGTAGTGGTAATCTAGTATTGGATTTAGCGTCAATATCTGAAAATTGTGCGATCGAACTTGTGGAATGTCTTAGTAAAACTCTGTAAAGTACACCTATTTTCAGGACTGCTCCGCCTTTGTTTTCGGCTTCAGTTCAGTTCGAGTGAGATTCAAGCTTTGTTCAAACGGTTTTTTTTTGCCCCTTCACGCGCCAAATAATTTTCTCGTACCCAACTCTCAAGATGTATTCTGTTTCTCACCTCAGGTTTTGGTTTTGGACAAAACCTGCAAGTGCCGCAAACCAATGCCTTTGGAGCCAAAACGTCTGGTTTTGGTACCCCTGCACAGGGCACGACGGGTACATTTAATACTGGAGGGTTTGGAGCTTCACAACCAGCCTCGACCAATGCCTTTGGCGGCGGTGGGGGCTTAGGCGGCTTCGGTAGCAACACTGCACAGCCGGCATCTACTGGTATGACTCTTGTGCGTGTGTGTGTGTACTCGAGCTCATGCACAGAGTTGGTCGGTGTGTACAAACATCGGAAATCGGTACTCAGTTTTGTGTACTTTTAGTCAAGTAAGTGTGTAGGGTGGATACTGGGAAGTCTACACTCGCAAATGTATACTTGGCTTTCCCCATTGGAAGCGTGTGTATCACTGTATGGGGCATATATCCGTGGAATCATTGTCTTCACGTCATGCAGATGTTCTAGCGGACGTCGAGTTAAATGCCACGATGAACACAGACTATCTATCTCTAAGCAAGGAATTATTATTTTCGGATTTGATGTTTTTTTAAATCTCGATTTCTACAGAAGACATTAGATTTTGCGTAAGTGTACAATGGTTTACAGGCGTCAAAATAAGTTGTGTGACTCATCTTTTCCTATTACTTCTTATCAAATATTGCTATAAATAGGATTTGGTGGGTTTGGAGCAGCAAAGCCCGCAGAAACAACTGGTGGGGGTGGTGGGTTCGGAGGTTTCGGAAACACAACCCAACCCTCTACCGGGTTGGGCGGCTTTGGCGCCGCGCAGCCACAACAAAGTATGAGTGAATGGTGGGTTTGAAGTTCTTTTGAAGTGATATTCGTATGGTTGATTGTAAAGTTTTATTGAATGGTAAAGGTATGTTACTACGTCGGCAGTATTGGCATGGGGCAGTAACTTCAGAAATGCTAGTAAACCTATAACAGCCTTCCAAATTATGTTACACTGTACACTGTGCACTGTAAACCTATAACAGCCTTCCAAATTATGTTACACTCTACACTGTGCACTGTAAACCTATAACAGCCTTCCAAATTATGTTACACTCTACACTGTGCACTGTTAACCTATAACAGCCTTCCAAATTATGATACACTGTACACTGTGCACTGTTAGCCTATAACAGCCTTCCAAATTATGTTACACTCTACAATGTGCACTGTAAACCTATAACAGCCTTCCAAATTATGTTGCACTCTACAATGTGCACTGTAAACCTATGACAGCCTTCCAAATTATGTTACACTCTACAATGTGCATTTCGGACATGCCAATGACTTCACTCTACTTCCATCAAAAGCGTATGCGCAGATTGAAAACTAGCTTACATTTTATATTACTGTCACGTATTCGCATTTGTATTGTGTTTTGTTTTATCTCGGGTGAATTCCTTTGTTTATTATACACTGCGCTTAAGGATGCTCTCATTTAGCATATATCATATATTGATGCCTGATATTAGCAAACTACATCTATATTGCTGCTTTTAATTCGCATGCATGTATTCATTGTACTTGCTTCTTTCAATATCTCAGCAACAACTGGTTTCGGTGGTTTCGGGGCGGCTCAACCCGCGGCCACAGGCGGGCTATTCGGTAGTCAGAACACTCAGCAGCAACAGACTGGGGGCTTGTTTGGAGCGCAGGTAAATTTTTGTACCGAGATCTTTCCAAACTTCAGTTGAATACTATTTTATTTGTGTTTTGGGACACAATGACGCGTGTGTTTGATAAGGTGTGTATGTGTTGGTTTTGTGATACTTTATCCGACTTGTGTGAGTATGCTCATGCTCTTCATTGGGTTTGATGTGTTAGTTGGGCATTGCTTCTACTTTCGCTACATACGACGTCCTTAGGGTAGTATCATACTATTATTTTCCAACATCATGTATGATTTCTAAAGCCATGACCTTGTCCGGCGGGGTTGTGACCCCTTTTCTACCGATCCTCTACCTCCAAACGTCACACATCTCTAACACAAACCCGTATATGACCTCTCACCTGTCGGTTGTCATCCCGTTCTGCAGCAACCAGCCCAGCAAGGCACGAACCTATTTAGCGGCAACAAACCAGGCGGTCTAACTCTGGGTGGTGCTGCTACTAACACAGGCGGGTTCGGAGCCACACAGTCAACCGGCGGCATGTTTGGCAACAACCAACAACAACCGGCACAGGGAGGCTTATTTGGCGCGCAACAGAATAAGCCCACAACACTCGGCTTTGGGAACAACACCGGAGGGTCCTTATTTGGTGGAACGGGTGTGGGCGGCACCACTCAGCAACCCGCCCCGTTAGGGACAATGGGCGGGGGCTTATTTGGCGGCAATACGGGTGCTACAAACACTAATTTCTCACAAGGTGGAAACACGACCGGTGGGTTTGGAACGGGTAGTACTATGGGCGGGTTCGGAACTGCGGGCGCGACACAGCAGCAGCAGCAGCAACAACAGCAGCAACAGCAACCCCCTGGCACTATGTCTGCGCAGCAGGTGTGTTTGTCAGGTGCATGGCATAGGTGTACCCAGCAGTTGTGTTTGTCAGGTGCATGGTATCGGTGTACCCAGCAGTTGTGTTTGTCAGGCGCATGGCATAGGTGTACCCAGCAGTTGTGTTTGCTATGTGCATCTTAGAATGTGAAGGTGTGGAGTGATATTATGTGGATATGTGTTGAATTGGGCCCTAGGTGTGGGGGTATAGTTCAGCGACTGTGGGCACTCGATTACCCATGATTGTTTACAAACTATATGCCTGGCATTCAGACTTTCCACATTAACTTATTTCTATTTATTTATGCAGAACAGAACGGTATCTTTTAGTGAAGGTTCTGAAAAGCATTGTTCTCTTTATTTTCGGCTACAGGCGGGTCAGCTTTTGACGAGTACTACCTCCTATCCCGTTCTGGACATGGCTCGCAAGCAGGTACTTCATGCCGAAGTGTTATGTCTCTCTGCAGGGAAGAAATGAGAGTTGCGAGATGCGTATCGTGTATAACCGTATGCTAGATGATAGAAGTATAGTTCATGTACGTACATTGATTGCACATATCTGCAAAAAAATACACGATGTAGGCCCGTGTATACGCGTGGAAGTACGTGCGGAGAAGAACATCCCCTTCTTTGATAGATCAATACATGTACATTGTTGGACGGTTTTATATATACAGATACAAGTCAAACACCTGCGTAGTACAGATACAAGTCAAACACCTGCGTAGTACAAATACAAGTCAAACACCTGCGTAGTACAAATACAAGTCAAACACCTGCGTAGTACAGATACAAGTCAAACACCTGCGTAGTACAAATACAAATCAAACACCTGCGTAGTACAAATACAAGTCAAACACCTGCGCAGTACAGATACAAGTCAAACACCTGCGTAGTACAGATACAAGTCAAACACCTGCGTAGTTTATTCGTTTGTACGAGTGGTGATCAGCTCGTCCCACTGCGATGCTATAGGACAGCATCAGTGTTGTAGCTATTTGCATTGCAGCTATGATACCATACACACTTAGGGATCAATACAAGAAGTTACGAGTACTCAACTATACCACGAGAAGTATACCGAGGGTTTAAGGCGTATGCGTATGGGAGTATCAGTTAGCGAGTGTCATGATAATTTACACGATGATATCGTCGATGTATATCTCATTATGATACCACTCACCACTCATTGTGGTTCTTTCTACAGGCGCTGAGAAACAAACAACAAGCCGCTGAACAGAGAAAAGCGAAAGAAGAGACGCGCACATCCTACGCTCCGTCTTTCTACGTTTATACAGCACCAGGTACGTTTATGCCCATTAAACTGTATGCCTACTCACTATTTTTGCGTTTTATGTAGCTATATGTTTCCCCAACGTTATAGTCGATGTCCTCGTTGCGTCCACTCACCGTGTGATATCAAGTACGTCAAACGTTTTAACGAGCAACGCACATGACCTATATGGATGTATCCCATGCATGCACACACAACTTGTCTTTGCATTCTCTACGCGTGTTTGAGCTATTGTCTCCATTCTCGACTTTTATCAGTTCCTTCAACCACACAGGCCGATAATAACACTACTATCTCATGTATAGTTATCGCTTCTATACAGTTTCTTCTGCTCATCCTGGCTGGCATTCTCGTATATTGACCAGATCTCCATTGATAATTCAGTGAACATTTTCTCAAACAACACGCACCATATACTGGCTACATCTCCCAAGAAATAGATCGCTCTCTATATCCTGACGGCTATTGGTTGGGTGAATATAGCACTATATACATTTGGCACTGATGTTTATCTCTTCTAACCACCTGCAGCTGCACATCGGGTGCGCGCGCGCGTCTTCGACGACGATGAGGACGCCGATAGATTGCGCCAGGGCAGTTTCGGCCCTAATTCATCAAGTTCAGGTGCAGGCCCCCAGCCACAGCAGGCTCTGCTGACAAATGGGTCGACTGGCGGTTCGGGTGGCGGTGGTAGAGGACATAGACAGTTCTTGCGCTTAAAACTGGACCGGGATCCCGTGAGGTGTGTACTTTGATGTTGCGCTCAGGTGCGTCTGTCCTGTATATGTGCCTTTAGGTGCATATCTGCATGGGCGTGAGAGTATGTTGCTGAGTATGTACGTGTATGTACACGAATTACCTCGTGGGCTGTGCATGTTTGGCTTGCTGGTGCGGTTTTATCGATCCCCTGGGGGAACTGGTGATGGTGGCAGAGATCACTTCTTGTTCTTACGATCTTATTTGGTTACACGATGTGAATGCTGGGGGGGGGCTGCTCGTCGTGGTCTATACGTGTGTCCTGGCATGCTTGCATATCTGAATACAGAGTCGTTACTTGAACAAACAATGCGAAATTAATTCGTTCGGAAACTCTAATCTCTCAACACACACGCACATCTGAATTCAGAGCCGTCGGTAATGATACGGAAGAGGTGGCTCGGGTAGAGTACAGCGTGCGTGACCCACAAGATGAGGGGCCAGCAATGATCACACGGGTATGTACCGGAGCTTGCCTGTCAGGCACTGGATGTATATTTATATATATGCGTGTGTATATGCTTGTATACATGCGTGTGTATATGCGTGTATATGCGTGTATATGCGTGTGAATATGCATGTGTATATTCGTGTGTATATGCGTGTGTATATGCATGTGTATATGCATGTGTATATGCGTGTGTATATGCTTGTGAATATGTGTGCGTATATGCATGGCGACATACACTCTCACACACTCGGCCTACTTTACGGTGTTCTTCTCCCCTTGTGGCAATGGATATTTATCATATCATATTCCCCATTTCAAACGAAACATGAACACGCACACGTACACGTACATGCTTACAATCTCTTGCATCCAGTCCCTCATAGACAATGCACCCGTGACTCGCTTACATCGGATACAAGGCGGCATACTGCTGTATACCCACAATCTCACCCACACACCGACCGCTAGTTTCAGACACCGCATGGGTTTTTCTACACCCATTCTCAGGATGTGTTCACGATAAAGATTCTATCTTCTACTCGCTAGAAATGTTTAGCTCACTAGAGGTCTTTTTATTCGCTCTTACGAATTACAAATCCATGTGCACCCATTAAACACATGTTTCTGTTCCATTTAATTTGTCCTTTATTCCCCTTTTATGCGTCGCAAATTTCGGCGATATGCTTCCATTTCACACCCGTGTCTGTTTTACTCGTATTGTTTCTGATTCGCTCCTTTGTGTCGCAAATGCAGTCGCCGCCGCGTCAAGCGCTGAACGGACGCTACCATGACTCATCCTTCCAGGCGAGCGGGGGCGGTACAGGCACGTGGATGGGACCAGACGGCTGTAGTGCCGAAGGACGCCTGGACGATGCCCATATCAACGGCATAGTTAACGGCAAAAATGCCATAGATAACGACCGAAATGCCACAGATACACCGTTCCGGAAGACACAGGACACCCACACGGAGGACGTGGAGGCAGACGGGCCACGCAATGACCGAAACATTGCCGACACCCGTGCGAGTGGCTCTGACGAGGACCCTGAGAGTAAGCACGCACATACCCACACACAAACACAGGCACAAGCACACACACAGACACATACATCGCCCGCTCCGTTCACGATCAGTGAGGGGGCTCTGCTGGACACACGTCCAAGTGTGGAGGAGATGGCCGAGATGAGCTCCAGGGCACTGCAGCGGGTGGACGACTTCACTTTGGTGCATGCACATGGCAAAGTGGTGTGGAAGCACGCCGTGGATGTGACTAGCTTTGCTGAGCTGCACAAGGGAAAGCCTCTGGACTCGTTGGTCTACTTTGAGCATGGCGCGTGTGAGGTGTACGATGCTGATCGGGTATGGATGGTTGTAGAGATGTCGTATAAATAGATATATATATATAAATAGATATATATATATATATATATATATATATATATGTATGTATGTATCATAGAACTGTAGTATTGCATTAATATACCTCTATATGCACAAGTGTTTCATGTGTGTACAATTGTGCAATAATGCATTTTGTGTGCCTGCGTGTTTGTTTGTACAGTTTTGGTTTGCTGGAACGGAGAACTCTATGGACTAGCTATCTGAGAGATTTCCAATTGAACTTCGTGTGCAAGTATAGTGTGTGAGATGTGAGGTGTGCGATACTGATTGGGTATGGTGCCCGTGTGGTGTGTTTATATATATATATATATATATAAAGTATATTAACAATAAAGAATATATACCTTTGCAGGTCAATGACCCAGAGTTTGTGAAACCGGCTAAGGGTATGGGCCTGAATGGCCCCGCGCGAATAACTTTGTTCGATATCTGGCCCAAGCGCCAACCTAACGAGCCGGAAGACAAACCACGAGTATTCGACGCTGCTTCAAAGGCCAAGGTAAGTACCGTGTGTATTCATTTTAGAATATTTGAATCCAGCCGCGTACTTACATAAAATATTCTTCTAGTTATATTCCTAGTGGAAATAGGTCCCGGAGTTTTGGGCGAGCAAGGACCATGTCCGTCATTTATGCTGTTTGCAGAATGTATTTGAGGGTATCTCGGTTGATCACTGTGTATGTCTACCCTCGCTGTGCGGCTCTGTTGTACGTTTATTTTCACGCGTACAGCTAAGGGAACGATCGTCCCTATCGCATCTTATATGACTAACGAAAACGTAATTTATGTCCCATAAACGTACTAGTGGGAGAGAACACTTGCCCGCAATTGCAAAGCGCACGACATGTTCAACTACACTTACGACTGGGACTCTGGTCGATGGAGTTTCGATGTTAACCACTTCAGTCGATACGGATTGTTTGAGAGTGACGTGAGCGATGATGAGATGGAGGAGACACGGATGGGTGACGATTCTAAAAACAGAATGGCCGCTAAAAATAGAACTGCGGCGAACACAGGCAGTGCCTTGCACGCACAGCAACGGAATGTCAGGTGAGTAGATAGATTTCTGTAGCTTGCCGTTCTGTCTTGTGCAGCTATGTACTGCAAATCCTGTTCTTATATACATTCACAATTGTATATATAGATATACATTCATAGTTGTATATATAAGTATACTTTAATAGTTTTAATATCGATATACATTCATAATTATATATATAGAAAGCTGTAGCTGGCTACATATCTTGTACAGTTATGTACTGTAAATCATGCCCATATACATACATATCTATGTATTTGTGTAGATATTACTTGGCATTCCTTTGTTGTTCAGACGTGTGCTGTAATATCATACATACATAGATGCGATGCAGCGATACACGTGCGTGTACGACTTGTACGTTCACATGTGTGATATTTCACACCTCAATGTGTCTAGTATACAAACATAGCTGCATCATTTTTGTGTACATGACTTATAGGAACGTACTCACCTGAGCACCATTTCACGACTCGACCCACTGTAAATAGTTACACGGGTACAGTATGTGTTTGCGAATACACACACTCCGATTTCTTACCTGATATGCTGAGTTGTTCGTGTGGTTCATGAGTTGTTCTACGAATACCCCCAGAGAAAAGTCGGACTCCGAAACACATACTTGCACCTATATCTTAACATTATATGCCGAGTGTACTTATGGAGGCCATGATTTGTTCTATAAACATCATGAAGAACCGTCGGACTCTGAAACACATGTTTACACCTATATCTTAACATGATATAGATATACTGAGCGTACTCATGTGGGCCATGGTTTGTTCTATAAAAATCTCAGGGACACGTCGAGCAGCGGTGCAATGGACAGTTCGTCGCATCGGGCCATGGGCGACATGTTTGACAGTCAAGACGAGGAGATGTCAGGTCCAGGGGCCGGTAAGTGCACTGCTTAATTATTGGCGAAGTTGCTATGGCAACGGAGGAGTTGTGGATGTAGAAAAAGTTCGGTACAAATGTGTATGTGGGCGGAGAATTTGAACGGGTAATCTCGCATATAAGCATGTGTTACTACGTACTTACTGTATATGTACGAAGAATTTTGCTAGCGTTTATATGCTTATAGTTTGGAATCGATCAATATACCAGGACTATGGATGTATGCATGCTTGGAGTTGGATCTTACGAAGTAAGTAGTATATGGGTACTTCTAAGCTTGTATATGTCCTCACAGAAATGTGCCAACAGATGTGTAGGTGCATACTTATAATGGAATATATTTTTGAGGCTTAGTATGACAGATAAGTACTACTCCGCATTTGAGTACCTTATTTCCACTATTCGTCAATTGTTTACATATATATTCTATAACTAAAACTGTAGTTAGATAACTATCTGAGTTTATGTCGCAAACTCACACACACACTGGGTGTTGCTACAGATCCAGAGGATGACCTGGATGATATGAATATGGCCAACGACGCTGATGATGATGTACAGCCCACGGATCCCCAGCTACCTGCCTGGCGCAGAAATGTCCTCAACCTAACTATCAATGGGGTATGTTTGTATATATTTAGGAGTTGTCTTATGTTGTGCTTTATGCTGCATGTTTGTGTATTTGTAGGTGATGTCTTATGTTGTGTGTTATGCTGTACGTTTGTGTATTTGTAGGTGTTGTCTTATGTTGTGCTTTATGCTGTATGTTTGTATATTTGTGGGTGATGTCTGATGTTGTGTGTTATGCTGTATGTTTGTTTGTTAGTAGGTGTTGTCTTATGTTGTGTGTTATGCTGTATGTTTGTATGTTTGTAGGTGTTGTCTTTTGTTGTGTGTTATGTTTGTATGTTTGTAGGTGTTGTTTTATGTGTGTTTTACTGTATGTTTGTATGTTTGTAGGTGTTTTCTTTTGTTGTGTGTTATGCTGTATGTTTGTATGTTTGTAGGTGTTGTCTTATGTTGTGTGTTATGCTGTATGCTTGCATGTTTGTAGGTGTTGTCTTACGTTGTACGTTATGATGCTGTAAACTATCTATAACTGGTTATGCCTGTAAGAGTTATTTGTACGATGTGCAGACCTCTGTTGCTTAACTTAACTACATTGGGGTATGTGCGTAGGGGCTATGTGTATGTTGTGCACCCTGAGCTCAACCATCAATGGGCTGCACTTAAAAAGCGATCTGACTATATCCCCGTAGCCGTTGTAAACCGTTAAAAATTCTATGCTATGCAAATGCGTGGGCGTACGAAACCGAATACGTGCTCTGAACTTTACTGTCAGTGTCTTATGAGCGTAGGAGTTGTGGTTGTGGACGTAAAAATGAATTGCTCAATATTTTTTAATGTTCTTCGGTCTGTTGTAAGTGTATGTGCTTATTTGTTGTATTTTTCTATATTGTACATCCATTTCTCTGTGGAAAATGGCCTTGATTCGTGATGAGATCGACATACTCGCCTGCCAGCAGAGTTGTCAGTACATACAAGCGAGTATCAGCATCTTTCACGTGCACTGCCATTACTCACGTTAGCACCACATACAATACGCACAGGAACGCTCGCGCCCGCAGTATGCACTCAATTTAGACGCCCAGAGAGTGCAGCAGAAAATGTACACTGTACGAGGGGACGCGGACGACAATGCATGTCCAGATGATTACGCAGACACCACGGAAGTGGACAGGAGGCTCAGGCGGAGAGTGGGTGACAGCAGGAGTGCGGAGGATACCATGGCTTTGTATGTAATGTGCTCATATATGGTTGCATATGACTTTACATATGGATTTATAGCATTGTGCGAGAGTTGCTTATATATATATATATTGATATATATTTATATTAAGATTGGAATGGGCGTGAAAGCGTTCAATATATAGGCGTGTATGTACGTACATTTACGATCCTCTGCTTTGGAAACAACACTCGGCCTGAGAGCTAGCAAGTGTTAGTGGGCAATTTTATCTTCGACGATGTTTTCGAACCCATGTATTATGTGAGTCTTGTTTGGGTGAAATTGGTCAAGCTATACACGTGTGTAAGTATATAAATTAAACTCTGAAGTAGGTAACCGACCCGAGCATGGAGTGGCGGTTACGTATAGTTCGAGAATGTGAGAGGGTTTAGATGCAAAAGCCTCAAAGCCTCTTGGACAATGCATATGTTGGTAGGATCTCGTGTGTAAATAACTATGCCTAACATGCGTTAGCATGCAATTCCCTATTGGAAATTCATGTCTGCATGAACATCTAGGGTTAGGGTTTATTCATAGACTTAAGTGTACCAGTACACCGCACCTGCATGTAGTTAGTGATAGGGTCAGATGTAGACGGAGGGACAAAATAGTCCATACTACTCTTGTAGTGCGCACCTATTACGCGCTCGTTCCTAGAAAGCACACTATGGTCGGTTCCCCAACCCTACGTGATTATACCAGGGTTTCTTTATCTTTCTGCGGACTCATATATTCCGTAGATCACAGCCAACTGACCTCTTTTATTGCCCTCTGTCACATCTCAGTATTTCACCCGTTGAACTCCGTATTTTTTATTTATATATATATTTTGCCTTTCTGGTGACTCGAAATCCATAGATCGCGCCCAACTGACCTGACCTCTTTAATTGTCCGCTTCCACTTCTTCCTAGCGCGCCCGATGCCCCGAGGGTCGATCCCAACTCCACCGCCGCAGGCACCACGACGTACACACCGCGCAAGGTGGACCAGCCGTTCACCAACCCTGTGTCACCCAGAGCGGGTGTGGATAAACAACACCTGTTCGATGGTCAGACCATGCAGACTATCCTCACAAGTGCACGGGAGGGTGCTGACACACGTACACATACGGCTGTGGCGCCTGTGGGTGACGGAGATGCACAGAATACCCAGCGAGCTATGCAGAGGGGCTATTCGCAAGCACGATCCTTTAGGTAAACTGTTTGCTGTTTGTAGTGATTCGGGATTGTGATACTGGTTGATCGTGGGTTTGGTTATGTTTTGGATATCACACCAGAAAGTGCTTATATTTATGAGTCTACGCGCGTATATGATTTTATATGATTGTGTTTGTAAGTGCACGTTGATATATGTAATGTGCTTAAGTATAAATATATATTTTTCGATACATTCATACTAATTTTTGGTATATCTGTTTGTTTTTATGTTCTAAATCTGTATTCTATTGTACTAGTTATGTGGGTATGCACACAACTGCTTATAAGCTCTATATATTGACCTATTTTATAATAGCGCAAAAGTATCAAGTAATGCGGATGTGTAGGTGTGACTTTGGTTAGTGACTATTCTCATATATAGTTGCAGGCGTAAAGTCTCCACTATTCGAACTTGTACGTCTTGACCCTGTCCATATTGACGCGCCTCTCACTCCGCCTTTTACGCCAATTTATGTTATACTACACAAACTCCATTTAAGTGATTACCAGATAGTATATATATATATATGTATGTATGTATGTATACTTGTTAGAATTCACCTCAAGGTATAACTTTGAGATATACCTGTAATCTAACCATATTGAATTTGCCTTCATTTCAACCATTCACAGAGTGGGATGGGGCCGCAACGGAATGCTGGTTTGCCCAGTGGTGTTCCTCAGCAAAGTGCTCGTGCGATCAGACACCACCTACACCGCCCCCGCCAATAGCAAGCTGAAGCTAACCACCGCGGACGGGAGCAATTCTCTTAATAGCGTTAACATCAATACCGGTGCTGAAAGCGGGACGGGTAGCCGCGGTGAACGGGATTTGCCGGTAGTCGACTCTCCCGCGGGCAACCCGTTTATCAATGGAGTGACGGTATCCAAGATTGTTGTGGCACCCATTTTCAGCCTCAATGTAACAAACGCGCAAAACCCGGTTGTTGCGAAGGATAAGCGCAGTAAGTCTCTTGATGCACACATATGTACATGTATATATTTATATTTCAAAACAATGTACTCACACACTCTCTCTCTCTCTCACACACACACACATATATATATATATATATAAATATAATATGTGTGCATGTATTATATATGTATGTATGTATGTATGTATGTATGTATGTATGTATGTATGTATGTATGTATGTATGTATGTATGTATGTATGTATGTATGTATGTATGTATGTATGTATGTATGTATGTATGTATGTATGTATGTNTGATGTATTGATGTTATGTTATGGTATGTATGTATGTATGTATGTATGTATGTATGTATGTNTTGATGTATGGTA